TTCGGGGCATTTAAACTAGTCATTGATGGTTTTGTGCATTGTCGGCCGGTAATATCCATAGACGACACTCATGTCTATGGAAAGTATGATATTAAGTTGTTGATCGCCGTTGATGTAGATGTTAATGGAAGTATATTTCCCCTAGAATTTGCTATTTGTGCCAATGAAAACCAAGAGACGTGGACATTGTTTTTGAACCACTTGAAGGAGCACGTTGTCAAACAACGTTTAGGTATTTGTCTAATATCTGATCGGCATGACGGTGTTTTAAGTTATGTTTTCATGTATGGCAGTAACCGTATGCCTACTACCGTTACTGTGTTAGGCACTTGAAGGCCAACTTTCAGAGAGCTTATCCGAACAAGGACTTGTATGATTTAATGTGGATGGCTGCAAACAGATCACCAAGAGTGTAAATTCAGGAGGCGAATGGAATCGATTAGGCAGGAAGACCCAGAAGCATATCGTTGGTTGATGCAACATGAGCTTGACAAGTGGACTTTGCATGCGGATGGTGGTAGAAGATAGGGAATTCTGACTACAAATGTGTCAGAGTCTTTCAATGGGTTATTGAAGTCTCCACGTGGATTCCCAGTCACTGCCATAGTGCGTATATCATTCAAGCAGATGGCGGAGAGGTTTGTTGAAAGATCTAGAGGTGCATCGTCATTGATGGAAATGGGTGTTGAATTTATACCACAACCAATGAAACAATTTGAGAAATATAGGAAGCGAGCACAATGGCATTCATTTTTGCAGTATTGCAGTGAGCAAAATATTTTTTGAAGTTCGCACTAGTCTGCATCACAATCGTGGAAATAATACACACACCGTCAATGAAGCCAGAAGATTATGCTCATGTGGAAAATGGTCAATCTATCACTTGCCATGCTCACATGCTATGAAGTGCTTTCAACATACAGGTTTCGCGGCAACGATGTACGTTGATAAAGAATATAGTGTTGCTGCATACTTAAACACCTATAGTGGACAGTTGTAGCCAGTGGGTGCTGAGCATTATTGGCCGCCGAAACCATTTAAAATGGTGTGTAACAAGGATCATGTGCGTCAACGGCAAGTACAAAAACGAACGTGTATACGGAACCAAATGGATGTTGGTGATACCGTTTATGCGCGTAAATGTGGCATATGTTCCCAAACAGGACACGGCCGCCGTAAATGTCCTTCAGCTGGTTTGGAAAGCAGTGGTAATTCAGCTCCAGATGGAAGTTCATCCAATGTGCCCAATAATCAAGGATAAACATAGTGTTTTATTGGAGTAATTTTGTTGTACTAAATTTATGTAAATGTTTAGGTTGTAAAATGTATGAAATAAAATTATGTTTCCAATGGGATTAAATCTAATTGATATTTAGAATTAAAGATTCAATACAACAGTTTAACATACACCCCAAGGAATAAAAAATAATTGTCATTCTCCATTATCGTCGCTGTCTGGCACTATTTCATTGTCACCGACTTTATCTTCTTCGTCAATATCTTGTACGCACCCTTCGGGACCAAGGGCATCGTAATCTAGGCCCCAGTTGACATACATTTCTCGTATTTCATCGCTATCATCAATAAGACCACTTTCTTGATTTCTAAAACAATATGGGACTCCTACGTCCAACGTATATGGTAGAAACTTAGGTAGTCCCTCCCACTCGACAGCTGTTGGGAAAACAAGATAATCATAGTCTCTATGCAATTTTTTATTTTCTAATAAATCCAGTACTGATCCTCCGTTCCTTCCAGGTAGTTAATATTATCGATTGCATGATGAACAACAAATGTCTTTTCCATCTCTAGAATTTCCTTCATCAAATGCCGAATCACTTCTAGTTCATCTTTGTGTGTGTTTGTTTGGAAAGTTGCAGACAATTATTGTGGTACAACAAGCCCGTGCCAGTGACATAGTACTTCATAATCACATCGTTTTGAGTAAAGGGGAACCTATTGTAGTTTTTCGTCCCAAATTTGCATACCTTCAGGCTTTGTAGAATGCACTTCGCCCTCAATAATATGCCTTGCAACTTTGAGATCAGTGTGTATAATGATAGGCTTATTTTCTAAGAGACGCAGAATACCATACCACTTGTCATCAACCAAATCAGTATAGCAATCTAGCCAAATCAGTATAGCAACCTAGCATATTTTTTTCAAGGTAGGGATCGATTATGTTATGACGTGTTCTATTTGGTTCTTTTGAACTACCTTTACCTTTTTGCCTCTTCGTAAATCACTTATTAAATGTTATTGGCATTTCCGAATTGGATGTTGTTCTGGTTCTTCAAATGGTATTTGAATATTAATCTCTTGGTTCAACTTACGAAGAACTAAGCTGCATGTCGACCTGTAAGAACGTAAAACATAGCGCCTCACCAATATGCGCTATGTGTATTGTCATGTCGACCTAAAAAGATTGTCGTCCTAAAAAAGCTGTTGATATGAAATACTTGACCCACTTGTACCCGAATGAATCATTATCACGCGAAATATAGCGCATCACCAATATGTGCTATATGTATTGTCATGTCGACCTAAAAAAGTTGTCGGCCTGAAAAAGCTAATGACCTGAAATGCTAGACCAACTTGTGCCCGAAAGAATCATTATCACGCGAAACATAGCGCCTCACCAATATGCGCTATGTGTATTGTCATATCGACCTGAAAAAGTTGTCCGACTGAAAAAGCGGATGACCTGAAAAAGCTGGATGCACTTGTACCCTAAAGAATCATTATCACGCGAAACATAGCACCTCACCAATATGCATTACGTAACCTAAAATCACTCTTAGCTACCTATAAAAACCTCGCGCATTTTAGTTATTATTTGCGTCGTAATGAAACGAATAGAAAAACTTTCCATTAATTTTTCATTTTCGAGCAATATGACATATTTGGATGCAATTACGTACCAAGGTGTTACTGTGGCAAACATGTGATTTTGAAGCCATGTTGGTCAAATTGCAATCTGGGGCGCAGACATTGGATGTGTAAACAAGTTTTAAGTTATTATTCTTGGAAGAAATGTTTGTTAATACTTTTTATATAACATGTTAATTAATAGTCTTGTGTTATTCTCTCATTGGTAGGACGAAAAGAAATGTGATTTTGATGAATGGTATGATGAACCCATTAATGAGGAATACTATAAATCATGTTTGCTAAACATTTAGAATCTGACCGGTGAATACGAACTCTAGATCATGAAACTACAAGAACAACTTGCAGCATTGCAGGAGAAACTAAAAGAGGCAGAAGAAGAAAAAAATAGGTTGGAAGAAAAGTTTAAGTGGTTGAAGCACAGAATAATAGGCGATAGTGACTAAACAAACACATTGATGCGTTGAGTGTAGTATTTAATTTTTATGTTGTACGTGTCATGTATTATCTTTAATTGATAACGAATTTAAATTTTATGTTAAGCTGTCGTTTTTTTGTGTTGAAGTGTTAAACTAATAAATATCTCGAGAAATAAAAACACATGCGCAAATTATGTAAAACATAAATAATGTGGCTATTATATATTTAATGTCATATATACAAATAATAATAAATGTCAATGTGTCCCACAACCTGTATGCTTTAAAGCATTGGCTGGCCTGAGGCGCGTCCCATCCTGCTCGGCTACACTATCAGGATCATCCTCATCACGTCGCCTCTTTATCGGAGGATGCGCTGCAGCATGATCGTCGGTAAGGCTGGCAGACTCGGTAGAAGCGGCCGTCAGACCGGCATAACCTACAGAATAATAAGATATTTTACTATATGAAATAATAATTACTAACATACGTGTTAGGAATTTTTTTTTATTGTCATACCATGGTCTCAGCGGGATCCTGAATAAGATCATCCGTCTCCGACATCTCAGTATCGCACAATGCAGCCTCCGTGACGGGCGATGCCGATGTCTTTAAAAAAAATAAAAATGCTTTAGATATTACTGATTAATCAATGAGATAAAAACAAATAGAAATAATAGTAATACAAACAAACATGTGCATGAGTAGCGCTGCAAGGCTCTGTCGGAACATCGAGGTGCACTGGAGTAGATGAAGTATGTGCTAAATCCTCAGCATCCCTCGGTGATGAGCCATAACTCAATCGTCAAACCACTATGCATTTTTCGTGTCGAACGAGAATTAGCAACCGTCGATGGGTCTGGGGGATCAGGAAAATACTAATCCCACTCCTGTCGCGTAATGGACGTGACCGCGATCAATATAAGGCGCTATAGTATAGCGTCTTATATATGCGCGCTATACCTCCCGCCTATTTTAAGGTCAAATATAGCGCGATTATTCACCGCGCTATACCTTAACGGACAAAATGCCGTTAAGATATAGCGCAGTGAATAACCGCGCTATATATAAAATGGTGCCTAATTTTTCTTAACCTATTTGTGTTGTTTGAGTCCAAAAGAATCACACTTTGGTTCCGGTGCCCCTTGAAATAGAATACGTTTATTGGGGCAAATATTCAATGCACGTGTTTTCCAATCAACTTATTGTGATTCACTTGCTTTGTTCAGTGAAATCAAAAATTGTAAGAAAACTTCATTTCCGGCGACAATTTTGAAAGTGTATGGAAGGACATCGTAGCGTTAAAAAAAAAGTATTGATCTAACTTAGCTGAAGGAAAAGTCTAACTTCAAAAAAGAAGATAGATTTGAATGGTTGTGTCTATTACCAAAGGAGTACGAAACGTTGCTATTTGAACCCTAGGCATTTGCCCCATCGTGTATCTTATATTAATGAATAATTTTTTTTATAGAAAAAAGTATAAATTCTTTAGAATAACAAATGTTAATCCTATTTAGTATTTTTTTTTATCTCTCTCATATAATAAATTGTTTTGTCATGAAGAATTGTTTTGTATTGAAGAGGACAATGTCGGCATTTCATAGAATGGCAGTTGTTGGGATGTCCCGGTCAAAATATAGACCAAGAAGGAAAAGAAAAGTCCATAAAAACAAACAAGAAACCAAAGGCGGCTACAACTCTGGCTGCCATTGCCATTTGCCCCCTCTGGTCAAATAAATCATCACTTTCCTTTCTCTTTCCAATTCTACTCCTCTCCCCTGCATTTGCTTATATCATCATTACCCTTGTCCTTCTTTATTTTTTCTCTCCATAGCAAAAGCAGCTAATTACAAATTTTGCTATTAATGGAGATGGAAGTGATGATAGCTTCACCTCCAGTGGACTTCAACTTCGATAGTGCTTGTACTACTCCTTATATAAGTGCTTCTTCAAGCCCTCAACGTTTTGGCAATTATTTTCTCAGCGCCCCTACTAGCCCTGCCCACGGTGGCGATGCCCTAAGAACAACCGGTGGTGAAGTTCCATTCAATTGGGAGGAAAAGCCTGGAATTCCAAAATCAAGAGCAACCCGGGATGAGAATGATGATTTTGCTTTTGATTTTAGTGGTCAGTTGGAGAGAAGCTCTGTATCAGCTGCTGATGAGCTTTTTGATGGTGGAAAAATCAAGCCTTTGAAATTGAAGCCACCACCAAGATTACAGTATGAAGGCAAACCATTTGATTCGCCGAAATCTCCAAAGAAAAAGTTGAAGAAGAAAGAATTAGATCCATTTGCAGCAGCCCTAGAGCAGAGTAGTCGAACAGAAAATGATCGCCCTGGTAGGGAAAGAACTCAGCACTCTACAAGTTCTTCAAGGCACAAAAAGACAAGATCTTTATCTCCTTTCAGAGCTTCCGATTTACTGTTTGACAGTGAAAGCAAGCAAGAAAATACAAACATATCTTCTTCTTCTTCATTTTCATCGATGATAACACTATGGTACAGCAAATGGAAGCTGAAAGACTTGTTTCTATTCAGAAGCGCGTCAGAGGGTAGAGCAAGTAACAAAGATCAGTTAAACAAGTTTTTGAAGAAAACTCATAGTAAAGAGTCAAGCTTTAGATCAACTGGTAGTAGTGTTGGATCGTCATCGGTATCAAGCTCCTTGAGGAGGAGGGAGGTTTCGGCTCATGAGTTGCATTACACGTTGAATAGGGCACTCTCGGAGGAGATGAAGAGGAAAACTTTCTTGCCATACAAGAAAGGCGTACTGGGTTGCTTAGGCTTCATTCCTGATGCAAGTTTTAGAGGTGTTGCTTCTTCTATGTCCATGACTCGTCGTTAATGAGTCTCTATCTGTAAGAAACGAAAAAACATTAAATACTATGGATTCGTTTTCGTGTATTTGGCAAGACTCTTATATATTGTTCATAAGACATTCACCCCAAATCTCCTATGCAGATAATTATTTCTACAATACTAGTACTACATTTCAGATATTAATCTGGGCACGCTACAGGATAGTTCAGAATTTAGAGAATTTATAAACAGACTGTTATTTGATCTCAGAAATCCTAGAAATCGAAGGCGACATGGTGAAAAACAGTATCTGATCAACTCATCATAACAATTCATGTTTAATTTCTGTCCTCTTATGTTAATTACTCGAATTGCTACACTGCTCGAATCTCCAGCCCCTCCGAAAACGAGCACCCCCACAAGAAAAACTGCATGCTGCTGACACAAAGAAAGCATCACGTCATATAAGGGAAATGTTCCTCTCCAATCGATAGGATCTTCATTGTATATCCTTCTTCATGAGTCTCACGAATATGCCTTCATTTTCTTTTGTTTTTGCGTAGGTTAGGTTTTATGTCCCCTCGTTAGTGTATTAACCTCTGAATTTTAATTTACAAGGTAGGGTCCTTGCCAAACCCCGTCACCTAAAGACGGATTTAAAAAAAAAAAAGCATCACGACGCTGTCTATAATATGAAAAGTTAATTGCTTGCAACAAAATAGTTCTTTCTTTTTCATTTTATGTAACACTCTTTTATTTTTAATCCTTACAAAAAATGATATATTTTCTGTTATTTAGAAATAATATATTTTTGAACTTCTTATTTTGTGGTTCGGGGACTTGAAACAGGTCTGTTATGTCATTTGGGATTTGTGTGTAAAATTTGGAGTTATTCTGAGTTGGTTAAGATTGACTTGAGGTGCGATTTGTAGTTTTGATGTTACTTTGTGTGACTTGAGACCTCGAGTAAGTCTGTGTTATGTTTTGGGACTGGTTGGTATAACTGGACGAGGTACCGAGGGGCTCGGGAGTGTTTCAGATGGATTTCAGGTCATTTGAGCTTGGTTGGACTACATAAGATTTGTTGGTGTCTAGATGTTGATGTTTGGCGAAAATCCATGTTTTTGCATGTAAATTTCCTTGCATTATGCCTCGATATTGTTAAATTTAGTACGAATATTTGTGACTCGAGCTTAATAATGATGTTTATATGTATAGGGGTCAATCGGAAGTGATATGGAAGGATTGTGCGCAAATTGAAGCCAAGATGGAAGAATTTAGAGGGAGAATGATTTTTTGCATCCAGGTTTGAGCCAGGCCTCAGTCAAAATGCAAACGACAAACACAAGATAGAGTTGGGCGCCCAGCTTTGCGCCAGGCGTCCTACGTGGCGCCCAAGCAGGAAACCTTTCCTATTTCGGCTATGACTTGGTAGTTTCGAACTTACACTCCCCCAACATGTATAAAATGGTTTCTAAACCTATTTTTTGAGGTTAGACATTATTCGCGAGGCGAAAGATGACTGTAACAATTGCAAAGCACCGGATCACACAGGTTCATTCTTCCATTCTTTCTTAGTTTGTAAATTAATGCTTTCAATTATTAACGTGGTTGTTAGCATGACTATGAGTAGCTAAATTTCTTTCTAGGATTTTGATGGAACCTTTTGAAGGATGAATTCTTGATATGTTTTCATATAACTAGCCTTTGGATTTCTCTACCTGTTTAACTACGTACTTATTTTAGTTAATTGATCAGCTCTCAATTAATGGTGCCTATTTATTATGTATTGCTTGGAAAAGAGTACATATTTAGGTGGTTATTGAACAACGTCATTCCTAACTTATGTGAGAAATCAATACGACAGGTTTAAAGGTGAGTTTAGGAGCAATAAAGCCTTGACGTAGTCATAGTAAGTGGTAAGGTAGTACCAGCTAGCGTAGTTCGGGAGAATGTCTATTAAATTTTCTTCAATTCTTGCTCAAGTTTTGGAAGATTAAGAAGGGAAGCTCACTAAGTCTTCATCCTAGAGATAAGATTCTACACCCTAAACCCTAATTTTGAAATTTTCTGAAAGTGGGTAACTAGCAAGATAAATTTCTGGGCATGAGAGGTTTTTATTCTACATGCATGTGTTATCAAAGGGTGTAGGAATATTGTTGAGCTAAAAATGGTAAAGATTGAGTTGTGGGATGATGAAATCCTTCATAAAAATGATATTGAAACCTTATGCACACCTAGTGTTTGATAAAATGCTCAAGTGAGCTAGAGCCATGATCATATTCCTAATTTTGGTTCAATTTGTTATATTTCTACAATAGATTGAGGTTGCTAAGAATTCTGGAATATTTAGAGTGTAAGGAAGCTCAAGTGAGGTATGTTGGCTAAACTCTTCTCTTAGAATTGAATCCCATGATATTCATGTAAATTATGTAGGTCCCGAGTGATTCATTATGAAATTGGCTATTCCGAGTAAGATTGGGTTGGAAGATATATGTTCAACAAGCATCCCAAATGCTCTATTCATGTTATGTTACCAATTGAGGATGTGTTAAAATATGGGCTGTGCATTAATAATGTTTCGACTTTAAGTCAACTTCAAATGAAGGCTATTATGCCAAATTTTGTGAAATATCTCTATGTGCATTAGACTCTAAATTGCTCACATGTGTACTACACACTTTGATTTGAATTGTGTTTATTGTTGATGATGAGGATGATATT